AATCTGTCTATTTTTAGTTTCCTACCCTTCAGGCAGAGCAGCAGTCAGTATGCTCTTCTGAACCGTAGCTATAAGCATGGTCTCTTTAAGAATCTTGCAAAACTCAGAAGTTAGGAAAATCTTGGATTTACTTTCAGTCTGTCAGAAATTGTTGCCTTGCCTTTGTGCAGTGTTTTTGATACAATGCTATTTCTTGTGACTTGTGCCCTGATTTTGTTTGCTACCACAAGGAGTCTTTTGTTTGAAACAAAACCTTGCGGTTAATTTTCTGCTAGGTCTTTTCATGAAAAGGAAGGTCACGGCTTATAGCATTTGTATTGTCACTGCGAAGGACTGTACAAACTGTTCCATGGACCAGGATGTTTCTGTGATTAATGATTGCTACATGCTTTTTAAAGTAATATTTTCCTTTTTATAATTTCAGTACGCTTTGTTTTCTGTAGACACTTGTGTAAGATACAAATCGTGTTTGTGAAGATGTTATACAAAGTTACCATGACTTACGCATCCATAATTAACATAAAGTTAAGATCAAGTATAAAGACATGTTGAAGTGTTTAAAGTTTGTTCTTTACAGCTAGTGCTTAGGTCAACTTACCCATAAAATAATACGTTATCAAAGTGAGACTTCAGTTTAATGCATTCTCAGCTGCAATTTTCAGTAGCAAGTACCAATCGAGATTTTTACTTCTCATTTACCCACATAGTTCTTTGTATCTTAAATATTTTCACATGTGGGCATGACACAGTTATTTGACATTTTACAATTTGTCCTTTGTTTGCATGCAGCGAGGAGTTATGGGCGAAGACGAGGTAATTCACTTCTGTTTGTTACAGTACAATTAATTCTGATTGAGCTGTTACTGATCATTATGATTAATTAATCCAGATTGTTGATTATAAACGCTTATCTGCATGTTTTAGTTTGGGCAAGATGGAGGGCGTGAGGGAAGGAGGGGTTCAGTCTGGATTATGATCATTGATCTCTTTAGTTTGAATTATAAATTCTTTAATCAGTTAAAACACTGTAGTTCTAATCCTAATGTAGTTCATGCTAGCGGCTACTGCTTGCAGCTCAGCTCCCTTTAAAAGTATGCACCCTGCTTCTTTTGCCTCTGTAGAAGTGATAATGTACAGAGTAAAACCTAAAAGCCTTTCATAAACTTACTAAGAAACCCAACAGATGACTCTTAGAAATAATAAACAATTTTCATAGTTCAAGCCAATACAGTTTGCTGACCTTGGAAAAGCTTTATTGATTTAACTGTATGAGAACGTGACCTCTGGTTGTTCTGAAGATCGTGTAAAGTGTGGAGCAAAACCATCACAATCTTTGACAGCTTCCAGCGTTCACAACACACACAGAAGTTCATGTGTCTTGTGTCTCTTGATGTCTACATCGGTTTGTAACCGATTGCGTTGTACCTCTGATTCAGAGAGGAATGATGATCTTGATGATGGTCAGCGTACACAGCAGTACAGTCGTGTTTTGATGATTCCTGGCAGGTTCTGCTCAGTTCTTTTTACTGTCATAAAACAAAAAAAGTCCACACATTTAAAAGGGCTTATGCTTTTAATTCAGAGTCATCGGGAGAAATGTGAAAGCCGAGCAAATTACCTTTATCTTCTCTGTTTGCCTGTGAGACATTTAAATGTGGAGGGAGAAGAAAGTACTAGGAGTCATACAGAGCAGGTTACTCTAAATGTGTTAATGTGTGGTCCTCTGTCACATTAGCTCTCTGAGGTGCTCCAGTGCTTTTGGCAAACCTTTACCCACGTTAAAGTAAAACTGATCTCTCTGGTATCACTTCAGAATATGTTCTCATGGTTTAATTTGGGAAGAGAGACCTAGGTTCTTGTTCTTAGATTTTAACATTGGTCTGCGAGGAAAAAAAATAATTACTCTGAGGATTATTCTTTGATTATTGTTGCTTCTATATATTTGTGTTTATTGTAAGTTGGAATTGTCCAAGAAGTATTTTTAGAGAAACACAAAAACGTGATTTTCATGGTCTGAAGAAACGCCTTCCTTAAGTTGTATGTCGTTTTTAAAAAAGCACAACAAACACTGGGGGAAAACAAAAATGAGAAACAGACTTAAATACTTTTTTGGCGATTGTCTAGTGCCAACAAGTTTATCAAAATTTGCGTGTTTGTAAGTCACTTATTTGTTTTTTCCTGCAGTATAGAGACTAGCAGAGGTAAAGAGCCAATCTGTGTGCTTTCTTTAAAGATAATCCAGCTATATTACAGTTGGTTTTAGATTTAAGGTGTTAGGAATAACTCTTATATGTTAGTGAAAATACTTAAAACTTCCACTTTTGCAATTTCCCGCAAATTTTTCCTGTTTGGGTCTTATTTCTTCCTTTAGCCACTTCTTCCTCTCACTGCTCACTGTGATAACAACTCCATCTTCTCCATCATTCACGTCAGTAATTCAGAAATCTGTTGTTATATCCCACTTTCTTGATTAGTAACCAGATTTTACCACTTCTTCATCTTACATCTGTGAGATCTGATCATTCTTGCTAGTCTTCATAAATGGAACTCATACCCACAGTACTCAGCTGCTGCAGTCTTCATTGCATGATCTTTCTCCTCTTATGTCTACATGGGTGATTTACAAGAAGAATCAGCCTGGCTACTTCTTCCAACAGTGTTAACTTTCTCTTCTCTGTTGCTTCCTCACTTTTCTGCCCAGTTGAGCACCAGTTACATGCTTCCACTTCTAAAGGCACTCTACTGGTCTGTTACCTAGTTATTGAATGCATCCTTACGATAGCAAGCAAGAATGCCTTTACTTGCTGCCAGCTAGTCATATTCTCAAACACACCTGTCGCTGTTCTTAATGGAAGGGAGGAACCTGCGACAGCTTTCTGCATTTACTGTGCTCCATTGGATGTCTCTATGAGACATAAATGTGAAATGCCACCATAAAGATGTCGTAGTTACAGTCTTGGTTACTTAGAACGGTCCTGTGGTCCTGTTTTTGTGATCATGGTGACATTTTACTATGTTCATTTGTTTTCTATCATCTTGTGTTTTCATTCAGTATTTTTGATGTATTTTTATTGTGGATTTAGATGGCAGGTCCAGGGTCATTAGGCATTACCACAGCACAGGTCCTGGTGTTGGCTGTCTGTTCTCCAGCCTTGTCTCTAAGCACTGATTCTCAGGTCATCCTCTGGAAGTGGACGCCTTTCATACTGCTCTCTCACCTGGCTGACCAGCACAGTGTCGGTAGATGTTCCTACAGGGCTTTCCTGGTAGCGTTCCCCTGCGAGGGGATAGAGGTTGCAAACTCTGTGGTAGGGTACTGCAGATTCGGCTGTCCAGGACCTACTGCTCCAGCATACGGAGCATATGGATTTGCAGTGGGTGAATCTGGAAGAAGTTGGCTATTTGAGGTGGAAAATGCACTCACTTCCCAATAGTGTGCTTGGTTGTTTTTTGGTTCCGTTTACTTGCTTGTTTCTGGAAAGCAGTTGAATTAATCGTTATTTCATCTCCAGAGGGTAGTGGTCACATTGGACTGGAACACCTCTCCTAAAAGGACGTGCTAATAAGTCTTGAGGTTGTTCAGCCTGGAGAAGAGAAGGCTTCAGGAAGACCTTATAGTGGCCTTCCAGTACCTGAACGGGACCTATAGGAAAGATGGGGACAATCTTTTTATCAGGACATGTTGCAATAGGACAAGGGATAATGGTTTTAAACTTACAGGAAATAGATATAGACTAGATATCAAGGGTGGTGAAACACTGGAACAGGTTGCCCAGAGAGGTGGTAGAGGCACCATCCCATGGAAACATCCAAAGGACGGGACTTTGAGCAACCTGATCTAGGTGAAGATGTCCCTGCTTACTTCAGGGGGATTGGACTAGATGACCTATAAAGGTCCCCTTTGTGCCAAAACGTTCTGTGATTCTGTTTTAAAAAATGAATAAGAAACAGGAAAAATTACATTTCAGAAGAAATGATGTATTTATTTTGTTTCATGAAAGTGTTTCTTTTGAAGCTTTTTGCGTTTAAAAGACTCACTTCTGAATTTGAAACTATCATTAATCTTTATGTTACTAATCTAAACCCACAAAAGCTCGAATAAGCTAAGATGCATATCCTGGCCTTGTACATATTTTCATTTTGGAGTTCTCTACAATTTGTAGATCTGATATAGGGATGGAAATAAGTGGTACAGAATTACTGTGTTTTCACTCCTCCCTGCCATCTCTACGCTGGTTTCATTAGTTTGCATTTGCAAAGCCATCCTGTGAACTTCTTAGATTTTACAGTTTCTTTTCAGGGTAACTATAATCTTACTGCAGATTGCTACGTGTTAGGAATCACCACAAGGCTTCCCTCCAAAACTGCGGTAAATTTGAGAGCAAGACGGATAAATCTATGTGACTCATTTTTTAAGTGTTACATTTTGCACATTTATTAAAATTCTCTTTTCCTTTCTTAGAAATTAAGTCTGTTCTTACATGAGTAAGAGTATCAAATACCTTTAAAAGAAGAGAAAACATAGCCTGTTTGAAACTTCTTACTATATACATGTGTTTTTTCTGTTCAATTAAAGTGTAGGATTTTTAGCCATGCAGTAGTTACTCAGGTGATGGAAGTTATCAATGTAACTTGAGGCTAAGCCAAAGGAGACTAATGAAACTCACTTAAGCAGCCCTTAATATGATCTCTTCATAAATAAGACCCTTTATTTAAAAAAAAATTATTACTTTTCTAGCAGATGCAGCAGAGCAACTACAATATAATGTAGCATGAAAGTATGATTACAGTGAATTCAACTTGCAATCTTGAATTTCCTTTTTGAGGCTTAATATATTTTTCATTTTCTTAACTTTTCTTTAAACTAACGTGTATTTTTCTGATAACTTGGTGTTTTCATTTTTACTTTCCAAGCTGCTGTTTCCCCATTCCCTAAAATTACATGACCATGTACTTCCATAAAATTATTTTAATGTGTATTATTATCTTTTCTTTTTAAGGCCGTTCTTCCCTCTTCCCAATAGATGATGGTTTGTTGGATGATGGTCATAGTGATCAAGTTGGAGTCCTGAATTCACCTACTTGCTATTCCGCTCATCAGAATGGAGAACGAATTGAGCGTTTTTCTCGGAAAGTGTTTGTTGGAGGTCTTCCACCAGATATTGATGAAGGTGAGCTGCCTGAAAACTAAGTTTGAAGTCAGAAGGAGAGATTTTGAAAAACATAAATGAAGTAGTAGAAATAATGCATCCAGCAAAATAATGTTGTAGTGTAAAAGATTACAACTATATATTTATTTTTTATGACAGGTGATGGATATGTTGAGCTTTAGATGATTTAATGTCATCCATCTATTTTGGTTGTGAGGTGGTTCAGTTGTCAGTGCTGGTTCACTTGCAGGTGGTGGAGCTGCTTGCGATGCCTGGAATTTGTGCTCCTGCATACCTTGCACATTCCTTTCAAATCCATCATAGCCCTTCAGAGTGCACTCTCTCTGTGCCTGCTTTATTCTCTATTCTTAGAAAATTTCTCATAGTAATTGAATTTCAAATTCTATTTTACTATTACCTGAAGATCTCAGAAGTGGTTTAGAAAGGTTAATATTATTCCTGTTCATAAATAGAGAAGCCAAGGCAGAGAAAGGTCAAATGGCAGACCACTCTGATGCATTAGGCGTTGAACGTGGCACAGAAGCACAGACTGGTATGTGATGCAGTTGGAATTGCTTTGTACAATAATGCCGATTTGAAGTAATCGTGCTGTTTAATATTCGGTTTCTCCTGTGCAGATAAATGTAAATTATGTGCTAGCTTTGTAATGTAAACAGAAGTCCCTTTACAAGGTTCATTGCAGTCCTAGAGTAACTTGGAAACGAAATAAGCTGACTGCAGTTAATTAACTTTCAGACATGGAAAGACTTTATTTTAGTTTCATCTTCATTGTGATGTCATCCTGTAATGTACTAAGGGATTTATTTTAATATACTTAGGCTTTTTTTTTATGCACTTCGGCTTCTAATTCAAATGTGCACTATAGACTTGAATGCAAATGCTAAACAAAGATGTATGGAAACACATTTTCTTTCTGTTTTGCCACTTTATACACTGATGTCAGGATGTGACTGAAAGAAACGGAGTATATTTGTGTTTGAGTTATTGCTCTTGTAGAGTTTAGGGTGGTTTAATTTTTTTCCTTGTGGCCAGGGTCGGTTTCAGGAAAGGGTGGCGGGGATACAAAGACATCACAAAGTTGTGCAGGGAGCGTAGTAGATCTTGCAGTATGGTTATGTTAGAAGCACCTCTAAATAAGCAATTTAAAGTTTCTGTGCCTGATCTATTCAGGGTATCTGCTGGAAATTACTAGCGTGCTAATTGTGGTGGTACTTACTATATGAGTATCTGCCTGCAAAGCTCTGAACCGCACATGACTAAACAGTAAATTGTTTCAATTGCATTCAAACAGGTTCCAAATTTAAGAAGTACCAATCTAGTTTTCCACTGCCTTTAGTTGCCTGTATGCTTCTGAGATGCTCCTATGATTAAGCCATAAAAAAGAAATAAGCTTAAAATAATCAGAATTCTACTGTGTAAAAATCAATGCTTCGGAAGATATGTCTATTTAATTTTTTTGTTCATGAAAATTGAAAGTTATGTTTCTTCTATGAAATGTTTACCTTTGCTTGAAAGAAAGAGCTGTGATAGTACTTTTTCATTATGTCATTTATTTTAATTGCAACTATTATACTTGGTTTTAGATGAAATTACTGCTAGCTTCAGACGATTTGGGCCTTTGGTAGTAGACTGGCCTCACAAAGCAGAAAGCAAGTCCTATTTTCCACCAAAAGGTAAGAGAGTTGGAAGGCGTTGCCGTGTCACTAAGTGCAGAACTTAATCTGGGAAACTATCTCATATTCTTCCAAAAGGTGTAATTTATGGTCCCTGTAACGGTTAATTCTGCAGTTTCAGTGCAAGTTCAGCCACGGTTCCTTTACACACCAAGTCGTGAGAGTGTTGTTCTAGTATTGTGCCTGGTTCAGTGCTGGACTCCGAAGGGATCTTCCGTCTTCTGATTTCCCATATATCAGATATCAGCGTTATATATTTCTATATGTCATTAACCTTAAATTCTGTATTTGCATTTCTGTCCGGTTTTCAAAACTGAATTTGGTCAAATTTTTAAGACTAAAGATTCTCATGAGAAGTTACAGGCAGGATTGGGTGTCTGATCAAGATAATCAGTTTATTTCAGTTTTAGGATGTGAACTTCATATTGAAGCAGTAAGTATCTTTTTTGGCAAAATTAGTGATTTTTAACTATTTCTAGTGTTGCTGTAAGACTTGATTTTTCTAATATCACAAAATGTTGGAGAAGCCATTCTGTACATTAAGTAAGCTATATAGCATATTTCTGTACAAGTACAATCATGTATTGGTACATATAAAATAAATGCAAAAATCTGAGCCAGAAGTGAAAGCAATGAGGAGGTTATTAATTTTGTACAGAATTCAGCAATTCATTCCTTCCCTGGAAGTAGCAGAATTATGTATGCAGTTATAAACTGATTCTACATTTTTTTTATCTGACCATCCATGCTGGGGAAAAGGCAGGATTATTATCCCAGGTGGATTCTCTAAAGAGTAGGAAATGGAGTTGCAAGTAATTGAATAGTGTTTATGAACACTACATGGAAATTCTAAGACAAACAAAGAGGCTTTGGCTTTTTTGGTTGTCATCCTGATACACAAAGCTATTGTCAAGTTAAATTTGATTATCCTAAGGAACACATCTCTCTTCATAAATTACCAAGGGAAATTCTCAAGCAGCTCTGTGAGGAACATGAATCTTGCAGAGTCTGTGATGAATATATAGAAGAGGGAAGATGTAATATATTCTGAGCTGAAAGGAATGGATTCAGGCATTCATTTCCAAGGAGGTAGTCCTTGGATTTATTTTCAAACTTCCTAATTTAATGAAGTTTTTTGATATAGTTGGAATATTTATAATTACCATAGTAAAAAAATTTAATAAAAAATCTGTGTTGTAAGCAGAACTTCTTAAAAGCAGAGGATATAAATAGAAGAACTTCAGTCTGATGATCTAATTAATTCAGGAAACACTTGCAAACTAAGTGTTGATTTCCTATGATTAACTGATCCTTATTTGCACTTCCTCTTCTTCAGTCTTAAAACTTTACTGTCATTTTCAGTTTTACTACGTTATTCAGTACTGTTTTCTAATGTAGTCTGACATATTTAAAGTACAGTGTATGTTTCTCTTTGTAGATGTTCTGGAAATAGAGGTTACTATTAATTGCTGAATATTAATGTGTTTATATCTGGTTTTGTCAGTACAGTAGATAAGGCCCATGATTATTTTGTAGGAGGATATCTGTCTTAAGTATTACTCAGATAATACTTCCTGCAGGCAGGAAGAGTGGACACATTTAATAAGATGACTGAAACTGCTAAAGATAGGCTAAATACTAAGAAAGCTTTGAGACTGGTCAGTAATTAGCAATTTAGAAATATACATTATATTAGCCCAAGGAGTTCTATTTTTTATTATTTTTTCTACTTTTAATCTCGAATTTCTAATTTTTTACTCTACATGGAGTCACTTCAGTGTGTGTATTTTTGTTTGTTCAATCCCTTTAGATACTTGACATAGTATTACTTCCCAAATATATCTCCAAATTATCCAGTTCTGGACTGATTTACGTAATAGTTTTCCCTGTAGTGAAGAGAGAGCCTGCTTTTTTTTGTTTTTTGTTCTTGTTCAGATTCCCAGGCTGTGGTTCCTTCCAGGCTTTCTGCTTACAGAAAGTATTGAGGAAAGGCCAAGTTCATAATAAGTATTTCCTTGCTTGAAGAAATGCAAAAAGTGCCTGATCCATGAAGGCTGGCTGCCTCCTGAGAAAGCCCAACTGCTTATTCTTGACTAATTATATTTTTTGTTGGTTCACTGCAAAATTAGGCCCAAAGAAAACAGGAATTTTAAAAACTTCACACTAATCTTACAAGGAAATTCTCTTCTGAAGCAGAAAAAAAAAATTACTCTGTTGAGATCAAAGTCTGAAGTCTGTAAGTGACCTGCCAGCTGTAACGGAGAATTCCTTCCTTTCTGACTTGCCACTGTTTATCATAACTCCTGTAATTACGGAGTTGGCAAATAGAGTTATTTGTGAAATAATGCACATGTCCAAAGCAACTTGCTGAGGGGAGGACTTCTTGTAATAATGACACTTCCAAAGAAATTGTGCCATGAGGATATGCAAATCCAAAGAAGGCCTTTCAAAATGTGCCCAGTTGTTTGTGTGCTCTGTGCTATTTATAGTCTGTACCAAACAGGGGATAATCTGATTTAAACAGGACAGTATCCTCAGCCTTTTCTGATTGTCTGGATGTTTCTGTTACCTTCTATCACAGCAGTTGTGCAGTAGCTTCATTTATTCAAAGTTCTTAACTGCTGATTTAGAAATGACTGAAAAAAAATGTTCAAAATGTTGTTTCTGGTTAACCATGCAAAACCCAAGGTCCATACGAGTTCTGTTTAACTTGTTACCAGCTTATTTAATCACACTAGGTAGGATTGAACTCTGGATTCAGGCAAGTAACTGTAGGTGTCTTCATGTGTGATTAGTGTCTAAGCTTCCTTTAATCAACGGGAATCTGGCCAATACAGTCAGTGGAGTATAGAGGGCTGTTCAGGTCACCGTAACATAAGCACATTGAGCTTGATTCATTTACCCACCCTGAGGATATCTAAAAGATTTACACAGGACTTGCAAATGTGGTGCAGCACCTACTGAAGCCCCATACTGCTCTCGAGCACCAGCTGAAGGTCAGTAAAGTCCTACAGAGGATAAGTGTTGCTAGACGCGTACGTGTCCGCCTTCATCAGCTGAGTAGCCCTCCTGGCACCACTGACTACGTTACCTGGGTTTTTTTGTACCACAGTAAAGGCTTAAGCACAGTCACTGCAGAAATAGGAAAACAGGTATTTGGATCTTGAAGTGAATCCTGCTCTCCCCTACTCAAAAGTGCCTCAGTTAATAGCTACATTACAATTGTATCAGCTTGCATTTTTTCATTTCGAGTTTATTTTGCAGTTAATTTTCCATCAGATGCATAAACTCAGCAAGAGAAAGATTTATATTTTAAAGATTAATTAATATGGTGATGAGATACCTTTAAAGAGAAATAGGTGAAATGTTTTGTGTCCTTCCCCAATATGAATTATTCCAGTCCTCAAATGTAGGTCCATTGTGTTTATTAACCTGCAGTTTACACAGATTCTTTCCGACTTAAGCTAAGGCAGAGAATTCTATGGGCAAGAATTGCACTGCACTGAGGCCATTTAGTCTCCTTTGGAGAGAGTCGAATCAACCCCAAAACAAAACACGGCTGCACTGACTGACATGGACCGTCCCATGCCGGCTTGCACTGATTTTTCTTGACTCCTTCTCTAAGCCACTGGTAATAGGATTTAACTGGAGTTTGATGAAAATTAAAACTGCTCTCTGATTTCTGCACAGAGCATGCATAGCAGGGCAGGTGTCCTTTCCTATTCTGGTAAGCTTCCCTATTACCATGAAATAAAGAAATTATACCGTGCTCAGAAAATTGTGTTAGCAACCAGTGTGAATCTAGTCTAGGATGCTCTGCTTCTGAAATGTTCTTTATGTAATAAATACAAAAAATGAAAAAGTTTAGTTTGGTAATACAGCTAGGACTCTTCAAACTTATCTGATGGGCTTTCTGTTTCCAGTGCTGTCCCAATACATTAAAAAGAAAAAAAAATTATTATTTCTTGGTCTTGTTTCATTAAAAGAGATGTCACGTCAGAGTAAGGATGACTATAACTAGTGCAGTATCTTTAGGTACCATGTAATGTATTTTTAAAGCAGTTACCATCTCCAGAACGATTTGTTTATTTGAGGTAATTTTCTAAGGACAAGTGTTATGAAATCTAACTGCAATGGCTGCTTTTGAAAATAGGGCTATTTGTAATAGTTTCAGTGTTACGCAGAGGGATTTAGTCAAGTGATAAACACTAACAGCTGTTACCTAAACATTGTCCTACCACAATAGGCATAAATTCTGTTAGAGATGTGCATGAACAAGAATTTTTTATAAGACTGTTTCGTCTAATACTTTTCACCTTGTGAAATACGTACAAAGCACACAAGCTTTGTCTCTTGGCAAGTAATATCTGGTCATGATCTGCTAGTGCTGCTGCGTGCATGACCCAGAGGTATGAAGCAACTTCCCTCAGTATTAGAGTAGCTTTGCTTTTCCATTGTAAACAAACTTGCATTGCTGTTGGTACTGACACAGTACACCAAAAAACCCCAAGGAAGTAGGTAGTTAAGCTTTTTTGTAGTACAGCAAAATGCCTGCTGCTCTTCAACCTACCTCCCCACCATGTTTCACTCTCACATGTACTTCTTGTCACACATAGTAATTGTAATTCGCTACTATTCCAAAAACACTGGTGAGCACTCAATATTTTGTCATCCTTATGCATGAGATTTCCCACCACCATACTAGCTTTGCAGGCATTAAACATGCATAATAGTTCTTGAATTATGAGTGTTGAGATGAAAAATAATTTGTTAAAAACATATATTGAGAAGGCGGAAGGAGATAAGTATAAAGTTTGTGCTGTACACTTGATGGCATGCGGTAGCTGTAATAACAAGAGGAGCCCTAATTTAGGATGTCTAAATGAAATCATAGAATCATAGAACAATTCAG